TTAAACTTCTACTGAGCATGTGCATTTGTCACAAATGAAAGAATTTTGATCCCACACGTAAGAACGGCTAGTCTATGCTATACTGCATATCTGCACATTGATTCAAACTGATTTAAAACCTAGCAAAGGTCTATGATGCGACATTAAAACTGAGACCTTTGCTAGTGTTGGGTTGCGATAAAAGCGCTGATGACCTTCAACATCAGTTCTTTATATCTGATATAGAACTGATTAATAAAACATCAGTTCTATATCTCTGATATAGAACTGATTAATAAAACATCAGTGCTTTATCGGGATATAAAGGTCCATCATGTGACCCAATAGTTGGATTCTGATTGGACTAATAGCTCATGAATTATTAATGAGTTCTAGAAACTTGATTTACAGACCCAACTATCCACAATTAACTGAAAACTGCGTAGTCTTAGACTCTACTATAAAAATAGTGTCGTTTTCGTGTAGGAATGCATTTTCAAGAAAAAACAAAAAAGAACAGCTCTGCGTGTTTTCTATGGAGGCAACCTTCGAATCGCCAGCTGTACGAACTGCTGTAAAAGGTGGTACTTTACATTTAATGGAGCTGAATGTCGAGGACCTCTGCCCATTGATGCCGTCTTCTATACGAGTGTCAACCAAAATCTCCATCGACACCATCACATCGAAGGATACTGTACGAACATCTCTGCAGGCCAAGTGCGCGTTGGATTTTGGGTAGGAAATTGTCACGGTTACGGAAATGCAGACGCATCAAGCGGATGGAATTCAGTCTCAAGGATTGTGATCGAAGAGGTCCCTCCACAGCAAATATAATCACAAAATTACCAGAAGAAATGAACCGACTGAACAAACAAGCAAGAAACCCTAGCCAACCAACCAATAGCCAACAAAGACTAACCAGTTTTAAGTGGTTAAAAAACCACTAACAGAACAGAGAACCAGTTAAACCAGTAACCAACAGAGAACCAGTTAAACCACTAACCAACAGAGAACCAGTTAAACCACTAACCAACAGAGAACCA